CTCATAAAAAAACGCACCCCATTTTTCGGCTCACGCCTTATGCAGCCTATTTCCCGTGCCAACCCTACTCTCCTCCCCTTGTCTCTCCCCCCCCCCTCCTCCTCCTCCCTCTCGCCTGTAATAATTTTCCCCTCGGCAGCGTGATCTTTGCTCTTCCCGAATCCCTCCTTTTACAAAACATGACGCGCTTTTTCATTTCAAATTACTGCGCTTTTTCATCGGTTCCGGCATGTATATATAAGTACAAATATGGTATGGCAGGGGGTTGTGCGCCACGCAGTCTTGAGCCTGCTTTTTGCTATTTTTATTACTATTTGATCGTATTGTGCATAAAACAGTGCTCCTATTCTACGGTATCATAACAAAATGTGAGACGGTTCCGCCACACCGTCTCTTTCGCTAAATTCCTATTAACATTTTCATTCGCAGCATACTGATTTCTGTGTGCCTGCGGCCCTACGCTGTACGCATTTGTAATACGCCAATATGGAAGAATTTCTTAAAACTGGTAAAGTAAAAGGGGCGCCAGCGCAGCAGCAAGCTGTGCTTATAAAAGTTCATAAGATTTTAGCGTGTGGAGCACTGCTCGATATATTTTCAAGTCAGTCAATACATTAGGTACTGTAAAATGCTAACGAGTGTGTCCTACAGTATCCCGACAGTTATGTGGCTCACTGGCAAACTGCTTTTACATACAGAGGAAGAAGCCTCGTGCACGCAGCGCAGAAAAAAAGGTGGTGTCAGAAATTAATCTAGTTGAACACGCGTGGCGCCATGTGCGAGTTTAATAAGCTGCATTCACGGAGCTGTAAACAGAGCAGACGCACACAAAGCCCCCACACATCGACCCTACCAACATTATCAAACTTTTTCGCAAGCAAAGTTGTGATTTCGCGTGTGTGATATTGCGTGGGGGCTATCTACTTAAGCGTAGGAGTCAGGCCAATAAGCAGACTTTTTGGCTCTGGGTGGGGGGAGGGGAAGGGGGGGGGCAGCTATAGGGAGGTATGGCACGCTCTCAATAAACTCACAGTTTTATTCCTCCTCCTCTTTTTCGCAAAACACAGGCGAATCGTGATCCTCAGTCATAACCCGGCGAAGCAATATGCCAAACACTCCACAATATTGCGGCGCAATGAACACTCACTTTTCTAATTACAAAAACAAAGGCATCGCAATTGCGAAGGATTCGGAACTCTGTTCGCAAGGTGCGTATAAACAGTACCATCATTCGTCGTCCAGCTAATCTTTAATTCCGCGTTTTTCTTTCATTTTTTTCCCATTTCTCGTCGCACTCTTGCGCGACTGTCGCACTGGGAGCTCATCCTCATCCGACCCGGCCCCCCGGCCGTCGGCCTGCTAATCACTGTCTCTGTGGA